AAAAAAATGACAATCTATAATTTGATTATACTTGATTATATTTAAATATTCCTAAATTTTTGAAGAAATAGACATACAAAATATAAAAAATACTTCAGGTAGTTGAGTATATAGGATGTTCCTGTATAAGTGACCACTTTCTCTCTTATTTCATAACCTAAAGAAGATAAACTTAAAAAATATTCATTTTCTGATAATTGAAAACATAATAATTGAATAAAATATATATTTATATTAATTTTTATAATTTTTTTATATAATTTTTAGCTTTTATTTAAATATTCGAATTTATTGCTTAAAATATTAGAATTTATTGCTTTATAATTAAAGATAATTTCCCTTAAATATTAAAAGATAAACTTACAATGCGATGTATGATTCTGAAGGTGATGATGAGATGATGGAAATTTTCTCTCTGGTCGAATGCGTTCCATCAATTTACTTATCCTATCATTGGTTCTTTCTTTTCGCACTAAAGGACCTGGGCAATTTTCTTCCACAACACGAACACATTGTCGATGTACACTGAGGGAACAATCTGAAATCAATTAATAAAAATATATTACTTTATATTTTTAGTTTTATATTTTGTGTTATTAAAATCACATTATATTGATATTTAATGATTGACGAATAGACATATGGTAGTATAGCTATGTAAATACAAAGATGCATGACTTTTATATAAAAGTCTTGTATATCTATATAGAATAAATAACTTATATAACTTATATAGAAAGATAAAGAGAACTTTATCTCAGATAAAGTTTATAATAAATTTAACGTACCACTGCATAAATATCCTTGAGGACCTATACCACCAATAATAAGTTGACAATGATTGCAATAAGTTATCGTGAAGTATTGATGTGCTACAAAATGATGCCCTCTAATTGTCATTTTACGCGTTTTTCCAGTAAGTAGCCGTGCTTTGATGTTGGATTTATCTTTTGCGACAAAGGTTGGCACTCGATCGGCCCATACTGGTCGTAATTGAAAAATTTTTATCAGTATCGTAGCTAGACCAGCTGCCGTCGTGAAAAGTCGTAAATCCACATGTTCTTTTTCTACATCCTCCCTAAAATTTTCCAAAATTTATTTATGTTATATTATAGTTAAACACAGTAAAATGTTTTTTATATTTTATTTTTATATATTGAATACAATAATATTCTTGAAGTATTAGCTGTATTCCATGTTAAACAATCATAAAACATTTATAAATTAAAACAATCTACAGTTTTCTAGATAAAACAAAAAAAAAGAAAAAATTTTGTTTAATTCAATAAATCTTATCTTCTTACGTAAAAATTGAATCATAACAGTTATTAAATAGTATAAAATTTTTCACGTATGTATATATACATATATATATATATACATATATATATATATAATATGTAT